ATTATAATTTTAGATGCACGAAATATAAATTGTTTGATAATTAAATTTAAATTGTAGCAACTTTAATTGCTTATGCAATAAAAGAATTTTACAGTAAACTATTTATATTTATTTTTAAATTTTTTGTTTATATTTATATATTTAATATATTTATTCAACATATATAATAAATGTATTAATATCCAATTTAAATGTTTAGATAAAATATATATTTCAATTATTATTAAATTTTATAATTTTAATTAGTATATTTTACTATATTATCCTATTTACTCATTTTTCTTTATTAAATAGTATATGATAAGTATAATTTTTTGCAACTTAATCGTTTTATTATGTATGTATATATTTCTAATGTAAAACTTATAATTTTTAATTTCACTCGACAATCAAATAATAATTTTATTAATATATTAAATTTAATCTTCAATAGAATATCTAATAAATTAATATATTTAATGGAGATATAATTTTTAATGATTATGTTGACTATATTTTAGCAAATTTTTTTTATTACTGTAAATTATTCATTAAGTTAATATGATTCAAACAAAATTATTTTGATTATTTGTTAGATGTTTTAAATGCTTATGTGTTAACATTATTAATAAAATTAATATCTACAACCATGAGAAGATAATATAATTAATCAAATCAATATTTCATAATTTGAATAGTTTTTTAAATTGTGTTAAAAAATTACGAAAATAATATTAGGATCATATTGAAAATATGTGTAATTAATCAATATTCTATTTAAGTCAATTTATAACTAATGAATATTAGTCAACAAATAAACAAAAAATAATTAATGTTCATATATAAAATTGCTAATAGATAGGCTAATTATATGCTAAATATAGATGAAAATATTTTTCCGCCTAAAACTATATCAATTATAGTAATAAAGATTGGTCAATTATATAGACTAATGTTGATACTCGTGCAATGCACGAGGTTCAAGACAAGAAATATTTATTATTTAAATATTATAAAATTATTTAAGACAACATGAAATTATATTCTTCACAATATTCTATTTAGTAATAATAGGACATTTATTTATTTACTATCATTTTTAATTTCTATTTTTTATAAATTCTTTTTTTGTAATTTTTGACTATTTAATATATAAATAATTATAAGATCATATGATATATGTATAAAAATTACTTGTATGGACTTATAAATTTATCGTTTATCATAATTTTATTTTTTTTAACAATTCAAGAGTTGCACATTGATTGATGATTGGCCTACGTTTAACTAATGATATTTATCTTTCGCTATAATTATTAAGTGCATTAAATGTTAAAAACTTTGATAAATAAATTTTATTTTTTAGTAACTTTAACCCTTATGCAACACAAAAATTTTTATGGTTAAATATTTTATTTTTATGTTTTTTATTTATATTTATTTATTTAATTTATTTTTTCAACCTATATAATGAGTTACATAGTATCTATTCGAATATATAGATATATTATATATTTCCATAATTATCATGTTTTATAATTTAAATTATTATACATTGCATTTTTATTAACTTATTTTTCATTAATAAAATAGTATAAAAGAAATATATATATATATTTTTTAAAAAAAAAAAAATGAATAGTCTTTTAATGTACATAGATACTTTAAGTGAAATTTATAGTTCTGAATTGCATCCGACCATCTAATTTTATTTTTATTAGTATATAATTTAAATTTCAATAGTATTATCACTGCATATGATATATTCAATGGGATATATTTTTTTATAGTTAAATTGACTACATTTTAGAAAATTTTATTAATATTTTAATTATTTATTAAATTATTATGATTTAAACATAGTTAAATTGACTACATTTTAAGTACTTTTGAATAGTGAATATATTAATTAAATTAATACCTATAACCATAGATGATAATATATTTAATCAAATCGATTTCCATATTAATTTTATGAATTGTGTCAATAATTAACTATTAAATTAATATAGATTTTATTGAAATTATATCTAATAAATCTACAGTTAAGCCAATTTGTAGTTAATGAGTAATAGTCATTGAGTGTATAGATATTAATTATGTTTTTCATGCATAAGATTTGTTAATAAATAAATATTAATTAAATACCAAATATAAACGGAAAAAATTTCCAGCCCAAAATCATGTCAATTATGGAATAAGGATTGATCCATTATATAGATATAGATATAGATATAGATGTAGATATAGATTAATTCGTTTATCAATTAATTTTATTTGCCTATTTGGAAGAAAAAAAAAGTGTAATATTCTAACTCGTTGTTCATGAGTTATTAATTATTCATTTATAATAATCAATTGTTTCTAAATTTCATTTTTTTTATTTATGCTTAGGTTATGAAAAGCTTATGTATTTTTGTTCTTAATAGTGTATTTTATAAAAAACTTTCGAAAAATATGACTTGGACTGGTGCATTGATCCATCATTAATATATGCTACTATATATTATTTTTTTTTTTTAGCATATTTTAAATATATATACAGGCTTAGCTCTCTGTAAATTTAAATAGGTTGATTCAAATAAACAACCATAATTATGAAATCCAAAATTGAATGATATACCATGTATGGACAATCTAATTATTGTCCCTTTATTTTAATAGAAACAACGGGTTTCTATGGTTTTCATTTTATTGTGTTAAATATGACATAGTTATGGTCAAAATATGTTATTAATTATTAAGTAGAGGAAATGTTGGAACATTATTGATCTTCCTTAAAAGAAGAAAATATATATATATATATATATATATATACATATCTTATTAAGTATCCCACTTATAAAATTCAAGTACAACCTTTTGTTCAATTTGTTAGAAAATGATCCAATTGTTAACTATGATTTCCCAATTTATTTTTTAGGTGTAGCTCAATAGTTTATTCAACTAAAAAGAAAAAAGAAAGAAAAAAAAAACTGTGGTTTTGGTCCACTTCATTTAACAATGCATGTTGCAAGAAATATTTAGCATGGTAAACCTAGCTGATAATCTAGCTAGTCGTTTATAAGCATATTTTGAGTATTGAGTTTATATATGATGATTAAAAACTTAGTTGAAAACTTTAAGTGAACTTTGAGCTTATAACCGATAGGTTATGGTTGATGGCTGAAAAGTTAGCTGACATAATAAAAGTGTTTGATAAATTAGGTGATAAGTAACTGAAAACAATCAACGAATTTATTTAAAAAAACTACATAATGAAGCTTATAAAATAAGTTCGAGTCTTTAAAAAATGGATCTTACCAAATCAAACCATATGATTTGCATAAGTCTGTTTTCTATTTCGGCTCGATTTTGCTCACAACTAAAAATTCGAGCATAAAACAATAAATTAAATAAAAAAAAATAAATAAATGTGAAGACTTTCTCCACATAGTGAGTGCAAAACTACCCAAAGCAACAAACAAAAAGCTTAATTACGCACCAAAAACCGTTCTCTCTCTCTCTCTCTCTCTCTCTCTCTCTCTCTCAGATCTGAAAGGGCGCAGAGTTCTAGCTAGATTCAACGACGATGGCAGGAGCAGCGGTTACGTCACGTGCAATTCGTACAGTTTTCATCCTCACAACCATCTGCCTTCTGCTTTTTCCCGACGATGTTATCTGCTTCTACCTGCCCGGCGTTGCTCCGGAAGATTTTCTCAAGGTCCGGTGATTTATCTCAAATCTGAGTGTTCCCTTTTCCCCTTTTAATTTTAATATTATTTTTTTTTTTTTCATGGCATTGTGTATTTTGGTGATATGATGCGTGATGTAGTTTGATATGGATTGGGTTTAAAGATCTGATCTTTAAGTGTTTGTGTCTAGGATCAGTGATCCAGATGGGGTGTTTCTGATTATGTGATTTTGAGGGTTTGAATGTGGGAAAGCGTTTTGTTTATATTATTGAACAGGAGATGGATTTGATCGTATCTTTTGTAGTCGACGAATGATTTACATGTTTTAAGGTATTTGTTGCTGATGTATGTATGTTTTAAGATTTTTTGTTTGTTTGGTAAGGTGTTTGTGTGGTAAAGCCTTTGATTTCCGGTACATGTTTGATCTATGCGTGTTGTAATGAGACGATGTAAGTCGTAAAGAGTCACCATTTTTGTATTGTGTAAAGTGATATCTGAAGGTTTTCCTTGAGTGCTAGAACCACTATAGCTGACACAAATTTCGAAGATATTATTCTTTTCAGCCCGTGCCTTCCGATTCTTCTGGTCCTCCAAACATGACAAACAAAAAAAAGAAAAAAGAAAAGAAAAACTTTATGTTTGTTTCATAAAGAAGAAAATGGCCTTACCATCCATGCACAGAAACTTGTCGTGCCTTTCGACTCATCTGGTGCTCTAAACATGACAACAAAGCGCTATTAAGGGGAAAAAACGGTCTTACTGTTTATGCACCTTACTGTGTGTAGCTGTTTGAACATGAACAATAAATAATTCTTCAATGGTTGCTTTTCTGCAAATTTTGTCATTTTGTGAACTCTTAACTTAAAGTCCTTATGGTCGTGTAGTTAGTTGGAATTTAGTTGTCGTGTGTGCCGATAAATATTGAATATCTATATGCATATGAAGGGAAGTATTGATGGTTTCAGCATGTGCAATTCACGTTCTGAGGTGCTGTTTCATTGACCACCAACTAAAAGTTAAACTGTGCAGCTGTGCTGAGTGCTGACGATATTCATAGAAATAAGAAATGAGAACTGCAGTTACCCTTTCCTTTATTGTCACTTGCGCTCTACTTATTTCTCTCAATATTGCTTGCAGGGAGATCCACTGAATGTGAAAGTCAACAAATTGACTTCTATAAAGACTCAGCTTCCTTACTCATACTACACTCTTCCTTTCTGCCGGCCAAGCAATATTATTGACAGCAGAGAAAATCTTGGAGAGGTTCTACGTGGAGACCGCATTGAGAACTCACCTTATGTGGTTAGTGAAATATCTTCAGAAGTGGTAGTCTGCTTGACCTAATATCAGTCTATTCATAATTTCTCTTTCGGTTAATGTTTATGTTTCAGTTTAAAATGAGGGAGCCGCAAATGTGCAATGTTGTGTGTCGAATCACGCTCGATGCCAAAAGTGCGAAAGAGTTCAAGGAAAAAATCGAAGATGAATATCGCATCAACATGTATGTCCATACGTGACAGTAAACAAATCAGCTTCTCTGTAACTGTTTTAATCTCATCATTAATTTGAAGGCATCTCTTGCTTTATATTTATATCACAGGATTTTAGACAATCTTCCTCTGGTTGTCCCGATACCGAGATCTGAACAAGAAGGCGGCCCTCCGATTTATCAGTTGGGGTTTCATGTTGGGCTGAGAGGGCAATATAGTGGTGTAAGTGAACTAATGATCTAGAAGAGTCGAATTTGACAATCTCTACACAAGATTTACTTTTCTTTGTGCATTCTTACCATGTCCAGACCAAGGAAGAAAGATTCTTTCTGCACAACCACTTGAGTTTCACAGTGAAATTTCACAAGGATCAACAAACGGATTCAGCAAGAATCGTAGGTTTTGAAGTCACGCCATATAGGTGGGTTTTTATAAGATAGCATATTATTTTCAAGAGTTTTGTTTCGTCTCTTTTATGCTTTTCAAGTCAAATTGGGCTTATCGTTGTATTGTCCCATGGTCAAGTGTCAAGCATGAATATGAAGGCGAATGGGCTGAAAATACTCGCCTAACTACATGTGACCCACATGCCCAGCGTGTAGTTACATCGTCAAACACACCTCAAGAGGTTGAAGAGCAACAAGAAGTCATATTCACTTACGACGTGTCCTTCCAGGTAAACAGTTCATCTATACACTTCTGCTTCAAATGTTTTGGTCGATTTTTTTTTTTTAATTATTATTAACATTATCCTGATCAACTGAAGCCCCAATGTTTCCTTGTGTTTGAAGTTTGAACATCCTTCATATCCTTCATTTACCCAAGGGAGTTTTGCCAGAAAATATAATATTTTAGAGAAATTGTAGTTGACAATTAATTAGAAGAGTGTTCCCGAATGGCGAATACAAGTCAAAGTCGAATAAATTGGAAGCGTGCAGTTAGTGAGTAAGTCCTGCATGAAAATCAATTCAACAGAAGAATCAGAAGTCCATGTCTGTGCTTTAGAAGAAACTTCCAAATTGTGATTAGCTCAAACGAGTTTTTTTATTAACCATAGTTAATTTTGAAAAAAGTTGTGTGGTTAGTTGTTAGTGGGAATTTTGAGTTTATATTAAAATAATATTTAAAATAAAATAATTAAAGTTGATTTGATGTAAAAGTAGAAGAATGATGATATGAAATGATGGTTAGTCAAAATTATGTGAGTGGATGGATAGTGAAATAAAGTTGATGTGATGTGTACGAATGATATTATTTAATTGTATTAATAATATTGAAAATAGTGGGGTTGAGTTAAATTTTGCGTATGAATTGAGTTTGTTTTAATAAACCAACATACCCTATAATTTCCAATAACACTACATTCATTTATTCTCATACTTTTTTTGCAATCATCATCAAAACGAGGGAAAAAAAAAAGAAAGCAAAAAAAAA